ATACATTGTACATCACGCCACACGACAGCAAACGAAAAAAGCAGCCACTGCGTTCAGATACATCTGCAAGTCAGAGGAAGGCGATGCACCAGTGAACCCACGCAGGCTGCATTCGCCTCGGGCCTTGGCTGAGGAGCACAAGATCACATATACAAATGAGCTGCATCCCAGCTTAGATCTGAGTAACCTAAACACCCGTTCATAGAAAGAGCTGGGAAGGTTTTGATTTACCCTCCTTCTACAGTACTTCAGACACAATTCTGAGACTCATTAAGCACAGCACCTGATAAAATATAGATAGATTATCCCCTACATAATATATTTCTATATCAGCAAGCTCATCCACCTGGTCTACACAGGCTTTGGATATAGATAGATCTTATGTCCACATCTTTCCAGCGAAAGACTGAATTGTCATACCATTAAGGGAAAAGCAAAAGAAAAGTGCAATACAAGGTAGGTGGGACATTAAGCTGTATCTACATAGTGCTCGGATGTATGTAGACAGTGATAATGCATAATCAGAAACAGAATAAGCACAGTGACAGGTGAGTGACAATTAATTGATGAATGGTAAAGTGCCCAGTGTCAGTGTTTAGGAATGGGTCGCTGCCTTTTGCAAGGGGATAGAATCATTGCTACCATTGTGCCTTGCTTATTGCATTGGTTAGCATTGAAAGAGGCATGTTATATATATATATATCTATTTTAAGAAAACCACACAGTAATGAAGCACACGGCTTCCAGGTGTATTATAGTACAGCTGGACCCTTGATTGAAGTAACTGCTTTATTCCTGTATCGACTCGGAGGCCCAGAAGCTCAGCTCGCTGAAGCATGTGCACGTCTTGTGGCTTTTCAGGTGTGTTTCAGAATTGCCATTGTAAAGGGACAACCTGCTTTGTGGTTTGTATGTTCCAAAACACTTCTGAAGGCTAGCAGATAAAAAAACTGAAAAAAAACTATCGCCCTGCATCGCAAAGGAAGCAAGAATGTGACACCTCTCCATCTTGCAGAACATTTTGTGTAACCAGCGGGCGGGTAGACTTATCCACAAAATGTGACTGATGAGTCCGTGAATATCACGCAGGATGATATTTGGAAGACATCCCAGACACAGAAATATCATTGGCCAAAAAATCAAAATAGGTCAATTGCCAAACAATTGCTGTGAACTTCTCAAACATCATGCAATTTTTAATCTTATATTTTTCTCAAGTATGCTCTTTGTACTTGTAATTTAATTTAACCTGGCATTTGTGAGTGGACAGCAAAGAAAGAATTTCATTGTACTGAGAAATACTACTTTTTCTGTACATATGATAATAAACGCTTTGAATCTTGAATCTTGAATCTATATTTCCCCGAAGTAACCACAAACGGACATGTTGAAATATATTTAAACTTCGTCTATGACATCTATGAACTCTATTTAAGTCATGGATTCCTTGTAGAAAAATAAATTTTATAAGTCGAAAAAAAAAAAATCTGAAAAATCTCGAAACTGAAATGTCTTGCTTAAGTTGTTGACCGTAGAGTTGATTGTGAAACTTTTCATGCAAATTTCGTGTGTGTTCAATGAGTGTAATTTTATTAGTGACTCTCCTCCACCACCTTCCAAACTGGACTAGGACCCTAACTGGATCACTGGTCCCTCCACATGACCTTCACAGGGGTAAAGGTCAAGAAGTGTACATGGAGGTGGTACCACAAAAGCAATGGTTCCAGCTGAAAGCTGATTGGCCCCCGAAGTGCCCCTTCCCTGTCACTCATCCAATGAAAACATGCCATTGGCTAATGATAATATTGCCCACTGTGTATGTATTATGGCTCCCCACCTTGAAACGGGGTCAGACAGGGAAGTGGGATCTTTATTGTAGGAAACAGTGTCCTTTTTGGGGGTAATAGATTCGGGCAGGGGCAAGATGAACAGCACACTGCAGGGATACACAAGAAAAATGCTACTGCAGTGATCGACTGGAGAGGAAACAGAGACTGGTTAGACAAACACAGGAAACATGCCTGGTCATGTGCATTGTGATGTAGTGACTTTATAAAAAATATTTGCATCAAAATAAAGAGAGAAAACATGCCAACATATCTAATCAATAAACAAGGGACAGGGTTAATCAGCACAGCAAACTCCAGTCTCCCACCCGAGGCTTCACAAAGAACTCAAGCTGAGTCATTTTCTCTGTTCCTCCTTGCTAGTGAGCACAAGAGCAGTACGGTTCGAGCTGCAGAATCCCCTTTGAACACGGTCTTCAAAATAAAGTTTCATCAGATGAGGTTTCATGTAAGAGAATTGAGCCGAGTGTGTTCATTTCAAAAGGTCATGCAAATAAGATTTAGATGTAGGGCAAAACTACACACTTACCGTGGGAACCAAGGCCACAGTTTAGAGAAACAGTGTTGCTGGCAAGTGTACGAAATGTAGTTGATGTCATTAAATTTAAGATTATGACAAATTTCACTGATCACAGGGGGGGAATTTGCAGAGCTCTGTCGGCTTTTTTAGTGGTTGAATAATAAGACTCTTGTTCCATCAGCATTTTGTTTGCAACTTGAGACATTTCCATCTTTCTCACCCTAAATAAAGAATGTAATGTTTCATAATAATACATTGGCTATCACACTCTTCAGTACTGGTTAGGGTGCACAATTAGTCATATATACATATTTAAGTTATATATATACACACACACACATAATTATGTATATATAAATGTAGGTAAAATTTATATGTATACATTTATACACATTCAGTAATACGTACATATATTTATATACATATTTAGTTTCTGCTTTTTTAGCCCTTGCCTAATACAAAAGAGTCTTACATTACGCACCTCGTATCTTACACAATCTATTAAAAGAATAACGAATACCACTGCACAGGAAAAACCAAATCTACCATAACTATCAGGTGCGAATTTGAATTCCAAGTGGCAGCAGTTAATTCGCCTTCATATAGGGCCTATGAAGTTAAACACTAGCATTTAAAATTAATAACGTTCGAAACTGAGCATGAATGATTTTCATTTATTTGCAGCTGTAATGTTTTGCTTTCTTTTTACCATACATTAAACACATTAGGACAACAATGTTAAAACGGGGAGTAGATGCGTATTGCATTTAACAATCGCTAAAAGCAAAAAAGGGTTTATAAATGCGCACGTGGACGGGTGATAGTACACTAGCGGCGCCTATTACGTAATTGCATGGTATTAATATTAGTTAACCAAAATTCATGGGTTAATGCGTTAGTCGAGAATTGCGTCCATAATAAAACCGCGCACGTGAAAGGGAGTCAGATGACAAAGCTGGATGTATTTAAAAAAACAAATACCGTGCGTACCACGAGGGCATTTCCCTTCCTAAACTCTGCCGCTCTTGCAGCGAAGCATTTGCAATTCAATGCGGGGTTTAAAACCCAAATCACCGACCTCATCTTTAACGTGTGCTGCTGCGTGGCCAGCCCTCCGCAAAATACAGGCGAAGGCAGAAAACGCATGATCTGATGATAATAAAGTTACACATGATAAATGCCCAGGAAACACCATAAAGCAGCAGAAAGACTTTAAAATAAACCCCCACAAGTATTTTGATACAGCGTCAAAGCGATAATTTTAGAAGTATAATGAAATAGAAATGTTTCAGGTAAAAAAAACAACAACAGACGACTATGGTCTTTATTGTGGTTATTTTAAACCCTTACTAAACATGTAGTCTTGGTAAGTATGAAAAAGGATAGCGGCGAAGTTTTAACGTACCTTGGTGTGTTTCCACGTCGAACTACCCCCCCACCAGCCCCCCTGCCTTCTCCCGACAGTCATTTTGGGGGCAAAACACTAATTCGGATTTAAGCGCCTAAGATAGCCATTAAAGCTTTAGCACCCTGCCTATTATTCCGGCCACTGAGGGTCATTACAGCCGGACAAGGGGAAAAAAGAGATCTCTGTGCGCTCCATTGGAGTGTGTCCGTCCCAGGGATAAAGAAAGGCACAATAGAAAACTTGGAGGTGGGGTTGGCGAGGAGGAAGGGGGGTGGGAAAGGCTGAGATAATATGGGGGAGATCCCCCACTGCGTTTTAAAGTTGAAAAGACTTAGGGACTATTTACTATTGTTGTGTGAATTTTCCACTTCAACTTTCTTTATTCATCTTCGGGGGCGGAGCCTGCAGGGATGGGGGATTTTCCTGCGTGGTTTCTTTATGCAGTCTTATTAAATTATTTGATTATATTACTTAATTTGTTTCAGTTTTCCCTCCAGTATATCTGAGGCGAGATGTAAATTGCAGGTACACTTACAAGCGTACATAGGCCCTATATAAGAATTACCTGTTTAACTTTAAATGGATTTGTACCCTTTCCTATAATTTCCTATAATTTAGGAAAGCTGGTTTATGGCTTTATATTGCAGTTGTATCTGGATTTCCTGTATCGTAAACTAATTTAAAAATTAGTTATCTATGTAAAATTAACGGTTGAAAAAAAAGCCTATGATTTTCGGAAACAGAGGAAAATGAGTATTAACGGGATGCGGTAAACAAAATGCACCACGCTTAAGTAATCACAGCACACATTTTTTTTTTCATTCCGTGTGATTTGCAGAACTATAGGACTATTTCTAAAATATTTAGAATTGCAATAAAGTCAGCAATAAGTATATGGCAACCAATAAACAGAATAAAGTCGTGTGAAACGTCTATACTTAGTTTCCTACCCATGGAAGTTAAGCTTGATGTTTTGATCTAACAGGTTTCGCTCAAGATGTAAGTCGATGAACGTGCAATCGACGTCACGCAAGTTAAATGGTAATATGAAATTCCCGCACATCGTGACCGGTGCGCAGCATCCATCCCTTCACCCATTCATCCCACAGCCTGACATCCCTGACAGACTGGATGTGCCGACTGCCTTTGCTGGCAAACACGTCCCCCTCGGAACTGTGGGAAAGTGTGGGGGAGTAGGCACCCACACATTGTAATGTAAATTTGGAGGAGTGGACGAGGCGTATAAAAGTGGGCAACTTTCATTTTAGTGTAATCCTATAGTTTGTGTAAAACTCTTTAAACGCAAACCCGGAGCTAGGGGTTTATTAAAGACATACAGAACAATTAATTTTAATAATCCACCCAAGTTTGAGAATGACGGCCTCCAGTATCAGTAATGTTTCCGAAAGAAATTTCAACGCGAAAGAAGAGCGGAAGGTAGGAAGATGCGGCAGCAATAGCCAATAGTTAAAATGGTTTTCAGAATGGTATTTGAAACTAAATTACAGAGCAAACTCCACTGTACGCCTAAATTTCGCCTAAAGTAATTTAATAAGAACCAAATTGCTTACGATAGTATTTTTCGGTCCTGGTTTTCGCAACTCGCCGAACACGACTGGCTTTGGTGCGGCTATGAATTAGATAGGCATGAGTGAGCTGTTTGATTGATTGGTCGAATTAATTAATACAACAGTCTATTTCCATTATAGTACAGGAAATGCTTCAGGAAGTTGGCATACTAAATACGAAACTTTGTCAGTTTAACAAATGTACCCGCTGAACTGATGGTTGCAGATCTTGATGGTTTTTTTTTTTACAACTTTTTTCCGACGTCCTACATGTAGGCCTACGTGTTAAAGGCTACATCCTGTAACGCCGACTTGAAGTTGTACCTTCGATTCACAGCTGCATAATGTAGTAATTAAATTCCTTTAAGGAAATCGATAATACCTTAAGTCTTGTTTCAAGCTTAGTGCTCGGCCAGTTGCACACGAGAGCAATACATCTGTATGTTTTTGCATGCCATGATATTCAGGCCTAACAGTGCAAACATTTGATTTTTTTTTAATTATGGGACGACTATGGACCATGAAACAGTGAAACACATCAAATATTAATAGTATTTATTTTTTTATTTATTTATTTTAGCTACGGAAACCGTTAATCGAAAAGAGGAGACGGGAGCGCATCAACTGCAGCTTGGAGCAACTGAAGGGCATCATGGTCGATGCTTATAACCTCGATGTGAGTCAACACTTTTGCTGGGGCTGCTGAACATGGAACCAGCTGCTCCGGAGGAAGCGACAAGCTGGCTGGTTTGCATGCAGCGCCGAAGCGGCGTCCTGTGTAAAGTCTGGGGTGTCTCTGTATTTCTGTATGCATGTAAAACCACATACATGACATCGGTGAACTTTATAGCAACTGAGAATGCACTTTGACATGGCTTTTTGGCCAAACGTTTGCAGATGAATTACCATAGATAGTTTGAAAAAGCTTGTGTGCAGTGAACATGGGAACCATATTAACACAGGGTGGAGCGTAGACTAGGTCTTACATAGTTTTTGGTGTGCATCGGTATAGGAAGATGAAATAAGTACGTTGAAACTCACAGTTTTATCGAAAATTACTTGCAGTTCCATTCTAGGCAGGACCTCACTCAAGGATAAGACAAGGCAGGCTGTCCCTGAATGCGCAGGGTAGCTTTTAAAATGAATGTTTTGAAATAGTGAAGAAATGTCTTTTCCTCCCCTGTCTCTTAGCAATCCAAGCTGGAGAAGGCAGATGTTTTGGAGATCACCGTGCAGCACATGGAAGCCCTACAGAGAACTCATGGCACTGGTAACAACCCCATCACATTCTCTCTCTCTCTCTATGTGTAGTATTACTCAGCATATACGGATTTGCACAGCTCGTTATGTGCTCCCATTGTATAGCTTACATAGCTTATGTAATCAATATGGAGTTGGTCCCCCCTTTTCAGCTATAACAGCTGCCAGTCTTCTGGGAAGGCCTTACATAAGATTCTGGAGTGTGTCTGTGGGAATTTTTGCCCATTCATCCAGAAGAGCATTTGTGAGGTCAAGCACTATTGTTGGATGTTAAGGCCTGGCTCACAATCTCCATTCTAGTTCATCCCAAAGGTGTCTGGTGGGGTTGAGGTCAGGGCTCTGTGTGGTCAGTCAAGTTCTTCCATGCCAAACCCACCCAACTATGTTCCCACGAAGCTGGAAGCATAGAATTGTCCAAAATCTCTTGGCGTGCTGAAGCATTTTCATTTCCTTTCATTGGAACTAAGGGGCCTAGCCCAACCCCATAGCTCAAAAACAACCCCATACCATTATCCCTTCTCCATCAAACTCTACATTTGGCACAAATTCAGTGAGGCAGGTAATGTTCTCCTGGCACCTGCCAAACCCAGACTCATCCATCTAACTGAGACAGAGAAGTATGATTCATCATTCCACAGAACATGTCTCCACTGCTCTAGAGTCCAGTGGCGGCGTGCTTTATACAACTCCATCCGATGCTTGGCATTGCGCTCGGTGATGTGAGGCTTGCATGCAGCTGCTCGGCCATGGAAGCCCATTCCATGAAGTCCCGGTGCACCGTGTCTGTGCTGGAGTTAATGCCAGAGGAAGTTTGGTACTCTGCAGATACTGAGTCAACACAGTGTTGGTGACTTTGACATACTATGTGTCTCAGCATTCAGCGACCACGCTGTGTTTATGCGGTCTGCCGCTTCGTGCCGTTTCTGTTGGTCTTAAACCCTTTTCACTTTGCAGTAGTGCCACTTACAGTTGACTGGAATATCTAGCAGGGAAGAAATTTCGCTTACTGACTTATTGCAAAGGTGGCATACTACGACACTGTCACGCTTCACTGAGCTCTTCAGAATGACCCATTTTTTCACAAATGTTTGTAAGCCTGACTGCATGGCCAGGGGCCTGATTTTATATATCTGTGCCAATGGGCCTGAATGAAGCACCTGAATTCAATGATAAACAGGTTTGTCCCAGTTCATTTGTCCATATAGTGTATGTCCCAGGTTTCACTGTTTCTGAGCTTTCAACCAGATATTTCATTACACATTGTGCTGATTATAAACGTGTATGTGGCCCCATGAAACTGTGATTGATGGTTATGTCAATAATGTCGAGGTTAGAGGCATATACAGGGGTGGGGGGGATAGTCCCAGCTGAAATCTGACTGGCTGTCAGAGTGCCCCCTCCCCTGTTACTCACTGATTTAAACATATCATTTGCTCATAAGGTTGGCCTCTGTTATGGCCCCCACTTTAAAAAGAATCCTAGAATCACTTTTGGTCGAGCTGGTTTATCTTTAGTTCTTCCCATCCTTTCTTTAATAATGCAACATTTCCTTGCTTGCCCCCCAGGTGGATCGATGAGCAGTCTGGGGTTCGAGTCCCGCCAGCGATACAGCAGTGGCTATATCCAGTGCATGCATGAGGTGCATAACCTGCTTCTGAGCTGCCCGGGCATGGACCAAACGCTGGGCGCTCGCCTGCTTAATCATCTGCTCCAGTCCCTCCCCCAGATCAGCACTGAGGGCGCGGGCGGCTCCACCCCCCTCCCTGCCTCCCCCAGTCAGCCCGCTCACTCTCTGACAGCGGCCCCCCTACGCACCTCTCCCTCCTCCCCAGTCTCTCCAGTCAGCAGCCCTCAGCTCTCCCAGTACCAGGAAGTGTCCGAATCTGCTTCTGCCGCCGATGGGCAGCCCTCCCCGCCCGACTCCCCGTCCTCTGCTGTCCACCCCGCCCTGCTGCGTGCCGGCCTTCCTGCTTTCTTCCCAGGCACCGACCCCTCCATGTGGAGACCGTGGTGATCACCCACTGTGATCCCGATCCGTGTGTTCCTCCTTTTCCAGTACAAATATTGGATTTAGTAACTTGCTGGGCAAGAGATGGGAGCAGATTTATGCTGTCGGGCTTCTCAGTTCCTTATTTTAGAAGTTTAAGTGTATTGTGAGCCAAAAAATCAGCCATATATAGAAGATTTATTGTTCCAGCCCAGATTGTTGTAGGTGCTGTGCTCCTGGTGCCTTGTGGCCCTAGTCTACTGCCTCACAAACAAAGCAACATTAAGAGATGAGAAATCTGAGGCGATTTCTTTAGGCAGGATTGTTTTTTAAAGCCACAATATGCATTTAAATAAGGTTTTCAAAAAATGTCAAATACGTCGCTGACCGGCCTTTACTGTGCTGTTTGACTTTGCTTCTAATGAAGTATATTTTCTTTGGATTCTTCAAATATATATGTATTTTTGAGAGTGATTAAATAGAGATGAGTTTGGGGAATCTCCTGGGTTAGAGTAACAATAATGAATTCAGGTTTATGCAGAATAAATCATGTTACAATAATTAGTTGACTTTTCCCCCAAAATACATGGAAACTCTTGACTTGGCTTTACCATATTTTCGAATGATTCTAGTCTATTGTGAGAAACAGTAAAATCTATCTTGTTGAAGACATAAACTTTAACAAACATTAGTAAAGAATAAAATCTTTTTAATCACATTGACGCTGGGAAAGGAAGCTTTTCTGCACCAATTAGTGCCCCATCTTTCCTACAAAAAAAGTCAGTTGGATTCTTCTTACTTAACTGAACAAATAACAGTGGAATGTTATGATATTTTTTTTCTGTTAGAAAATTGTGGCTTGTGCTCTCTCAACTGCCATATGCAAACATACCTATGACTGTAAGGGAAAACCACCATTAATACTGGCAGCCAGTCATTGTTGCCTTGCATGTGTGATGACTTTGCAGACTGCTGTGTGTTCCCTCCTATGTGGATCATGTGACATGCTATCCTTGAAAGAAAATTCATCCAGAAATTGATTTTGCATACGTTTGTTTCCTGTGTTATGCAGGGATCGCACCTGGGGGGTGGGTTATGTCCTGGGATATACTGCAGTGTCACTATGACCCTGCTTTGATTACAGAAGTGGCTATGTGAGCAAAAGACGGGGATGAGCTTGCTGATATGTAATTCATTCACTTTGGCCTGAAGCCCTATGTAAGGTTGACCTACCCAGAAACCTGAGATATGGGCATATGGATGGTTATAAAAAGACATGCATTCATGCTTATTTAGCAGATGGTTTGGTGTAAGGCAACATACAGGTGAGGAAAGCCTGATGTCAGAGTCAAGGGCCTTGCTAGTGTTAAGGGCCTTGCTAGTGTTAAGGGCCTTGCTAGTGTTAAGGGCCTTGCTAGTGTTAAGGGCCTTGCTCGAGGGTGCAGTGGTGATACGATTACTCTGTTGCACATGGGATTTGAACCCATGGACATCCAGACACAAGCACAGAGCCCTAACCCTACTGACTGTCATGCCACCCACATGATTTCACATGGATTATGAATTAAAATCAAGTCTTGAATTAATGTATATTGTAGTGCAGGGGTGTCAAACTCCAGTTCCGGGGGGGGGGGAGCCCTGTGTAACTTGGGTTTTTCCTCTGTTCCACCACAAATGATTTAGCTCAAGAGCTGTGTGGTGCAGGGCTCTGGCCCCCCAGGACTGACACACCCCTGTTGTAGTGGCTCGCTGGACAGTAAAAACCGCTATCTGGGGTGTTGAAATGTCAAGATCTTTTTTGGTGTATCATCGATAAACATGGATTTTTGTCATTCAGTATGTTGGGTATAATTTCCTTGTCCTTTTTGCAGTAGTTTAGAAATAATCCACACCTTAAATATGCTTTATTGCTATCCAGTTAGTGACACAAGTGAAGTTGTAGACACAGGTCCACTACGTGCGAGAACAATTCTCTGTCTTTTCCAGAAATGACAGAATTAATATGGGATAGGAAATAAAGAACCTGTTTCTTTAAAGATTTAAAGATTTGGTTCCTTTAAAGTTTGGGGTGTGCCACTGTCCACACCCATGAGAGAAAAGCAAGTACCTTATCAGCTGGCTTATGGGAAAGGAAGGTGATATGAATCGGATGCTTGCATAATTTCCAAGCTGTAACTGCAGTAATGGCCTGAATTTTGCATTTTATGGTTGTTGATGTAGTTTATCACATCAAATCTGACAGCTTGCCGAAAGTAATTCACCTGGCATTCTGTAAAGATGAAACCAAGACACAGCATTAGAGATGAAATGGTTATCGGTTTCACGGTAAACCACTGTAAAATTCCAGCCGGTTAGTATTACAGTTTGAAACTTTAATCATCATAAAAACCATAGCTGATTAGTGGGCTTTGAAAAACTCACGTTAAATACAGTCCAGCATCAGCCAAAGTTAGCAATAGTCTCCCTGGCGCAGATCTGGAGGTGCAGCGTGCAGCGTGCAGCGTGCGTTTGTTTAGTGTCAGTGAAAACTTGACAAAAAGCAGTGATCGTTGGCAGTGACAGCACTCTAGAGGTTTTCAATGTTAATGCACGTTTGAAATAGTTTTCGTATGTTTATATAAAGTGTTGGCTATTATTTTAATGTTCATGCATACAAAAAGCACATAGTGTTGCTAATGTTATTTGCGGATATCAACATAAAAATATGTTTCAGTTTGTGTATCAGTACTTTTTGAACATTTTCGGCAAATTTTAACACTATACTGGTAACCATAATAATTTTAGCCACTATAATAATAATATTACATTTTCATACTGTTTCATCTTTACACAGCCTCCCAGAAAAGTAGCCTAATACACTAAGGCTTGAACATATTGGTAGTTTATCCACTTTGTGGAAGTATGTCAGACTGTAGGAACCTGTCTGTGGGTGGTTCCCACAAGCGCGGCCCCGGCGAAGGCTTTGATTGGTTGTGCGCTGGGATTGCTGCGACAGAGTGGTGTTGAGCTGCAGCTATTGTTTTGGGATTGTTTTTTGGAGTGTTTTGAACGTATACTTTGAGTGTTTGTGTACTTTACCTGTTTACGTGGGTGGCTGTTTTATTTCTATTTATTGTTCTTATTTCGGTCGGTCGGCGTGAGTGCTTGTCTGTCCTGTCTATTAATTAACAGCGCGATTATTACCGACAGTGAGCTGCGGGTGTCGCGTGAGCGGCGTTTTCTGTCCGCGTTTAACTCCGTAACAAACACCCGTGGGGCGATAATAACTAATAATATCTAATAATATCTAACGTCGGTATCGTTACCCAGCGCCGGAAAAGGACAGTTGCTCCTGAGCTTTGTTCGGTCGCTAGTCGGGGCCGGGAGGACATTTTCCACTTTTTTCCCGCTCCGGCAGTAGCCTGCTTTGAGGGGGTTTTGACAGGGGATTTTTGTGGTTTTTCGACCTCCCAAGAGCAACTTCGATTTCGCTTTGTATTTAGTTGATACTTGGTTCAGCCAGAAGTTCTTCTGGTAAGTAGTAGTAAATTTATCAGGTTTAAAATTTTAAA